AGTGCTGCCTCACTGTCTTCTCTGCTAGGCTCCCCCTTCCAATCAACTCTGGCCAGCTCCTCCCTCATGTCTTTCCTCAATTGTAATACATCAATTTCAATACAGATATTGTAACGTGATTGTTGTGTTCTTGTGTGACCTCGTGCTATAGAAAACCACATTATAGGGAAATTGCTATAGAAAATTGCTATACCTGTACAGCATTATCCAAACAACGTCCACAATTCATCAATTGCGTTACAGCCAATTTGCATTAATGAAACACGTGTAATAGCAGAAATACCTGTATTCTTCCTTTCCAAACTGCAGGGTGAATTCTATTGTGTTATGGTCACTGCTATAGAGTCTAGATTCATATAGTGCAGAAACAGACCCTTCAGTCCAACCAGTCCATTCCAACCATAATCCCGAATAAAACTAGTCCTACCGGCCTGTGCTTGGCCCATATCCCTCCAAGCATTTCTTATTCATGTGCTTAAACAAATGCCTTTTAAAAGTGGTAACTGTACCCATGTCCACCACTTCCTTGGGAAGTTCATTCCCCACATTAATCACTCCCTGTGTTTAAGAAAAAATGCCCCTCATGTCTTTTAAAAAGCTTTCACCTCTCATCTTCAAAGCATGCCCCTTGTCTTGAAATCCCCATCCTAGGGGAAAAGATACTTGCAATTCGCCTTAACTATACCCCTGATGATTTTATAAAGCTCTATAAGATCACCCCTCAACCTCCTAGGCTCCAGTGAAAAAAATTTGCAGCCTATCCAGCCTGTCATAACTCCTGCATTTTTGACAACATCTTGGTAAATCTCTTCTGAACCCTCTCCAGCTTAATAGTATCTTTCCTGTAATAGGGTGACTAGACTGGACATGGTACTCCAGACTAGGGGTTCCTTCAACTTGAGTACCCTGATCAAGTCTGCCCCACTACATGTTACTAAATCCAGAATTGCCTGTTCGTTAGTGGGCTGTACCACAAACTGCTTCAAAGAAAGTTTCATAGACGTTCCACAAATTTCTTTTCTTGAGATCCACTGCCAACCTGATTTTCTCAGTCCACCTGCTTATAAAGACCCCCATGATGATTGTAATAGTGCCTTTCTTACGTGTGTTTCCTGGCTCCTGGTTTATTTTCTTCCCCACATCCCAACGACTGCAAGGAGGCTTGTTTCTCCAATACCAATCTACCAGCCATATTTACCTTGTTATTCTTGCTGATGCTGTGCCAATTTGCTTGTGGCTCAGGTAGTAATCCAGAGATTATTGCTTTTCTGATTCTGCTTTTTAATGTAGCCCTCAGCTGCTCATATTCCTTCAGAAGAACCTCTTTTCTCTTTCCATTTTTATCAACAACTGGATCTTTCCCCTCCTACTCCATGTTCCTCTGCAGCCCAGATGAGATGTCCTGAACACAGGACCAGGCAGGAAACACAGCCTTCGGGACTGTCAATTCTGGCAACAGAGAAGAGTATCTATTTCCCTGACTACACTACTCCCGATTACAACTATGTTTCTTTCCCATCCCCAACACCTTAAATGTCTCCCTCGACCACAGTGCTGTGGTCAGTTTGCTCATCCTTTCTACAGCCCCCACTCTCATCCACGCAGGGAGCAAATTCTCAAACCTGTTAGACAAGCTGAAGGGTTGAGACTCCTTCAGCACTACCCTCTGGTTCCCTCTACCTGCCTCACTCACAGTCACACCCTTCTGTCCCTGACCACTGACCTATTTGAGGTAGTTAATATAAGGGGTGTGATTGCCTCCTGAAACACAGTGCAGGTTAACTCTCGCCCCTCCCTGATGTGTCGCAGTTTTCAGCACTCAGACTCCAGCTCATCAGTCTGAACTGGAGTTCCTCAAGCAACCAACACTTGCTATGGATGTAGTCACTATTAACTATGATGGTGTCCACCAGCTCCCGCATCACCTGGCGTCGCATCTCCACTTTAATTACTTGCTTCTTAATTTGATTTTTTAAAGTTTCATACTGAAAGAACGCCCACCATTGATGGGGCAATTAATTGAAGATGCTGAAGAGGTCATAATTAAGCTAGTGCAGATATCTTGAAGGATTGTATGGCTGGCAGAGATTACAACAATAGGAACGATCGCTATTGTAGAGGGATATGAAAACAAAGACAAGAAATTTTTTAAATGTTGCTGTTTTTCAACTGGTGAGGTCATCAGGTCAGTGAGCTCAGGGTGAGGAGAACAAGCCTCAGTGTGAGTGAGCACATGGGTAGTGCAATGTTGGATGGACTTCAGATTATAAAGAGATTGAAAGTGGAAGGTGGATAAGGAGTGTATTAGTCTCATTCAGTCTCAAGGCTACAAAGGACTGGATGAGATTTTTAGCACGTGGAGCTGAGATTGTGCTGGAATCGGGCCATGTCACTGAAATGGAAATAGAGCATCATGGTGACGATGTGCCTGTGTGGTTGAAAGCTGATCTCCAAGGCTGATATTCCACCAAAATTTCGAAGAATCTGGTTCAGATAGTTACCAGAGCAAGCGATGCAGCTGGAGTTTGGAAGTTTGTAACAGGGACTGAAGCCAGTAGCTTCCAGTGAACAAAGGATTAGGAGTAGACCATTCAACTGTTACACCATTGAATGAAATCATTGCCAATCTGTGGCCTATCTCCATATACCTGCCTTCGGCCCATATCCTTGAATACCTTTGCTGAAGAAAAGTTTATCTCGGACTTAAAACTAATAACTGAATGATTGATTGAGCATCAACTGCCATTTTTGGAAGAGAGTTCCAAACCTCGACCACCCCTTTGTATGGAAGTGATTCCTAACATCTGTCCTGAACAGACTCTGCTCCCAAGTTCTTGATTAAATTGAAGGAAATTTCTATTCATCCAGCACTGGATTTCAGGACATTGTGTGACATGGAGAGAGCTTCGAGGTGGCCATGCTCCCGTGGTCCTTCAAGGTGGTGGAAGTGGCTGGTTGGGAGGTTTTGCTAAGGTTATGGTTGAGCTGTTGATCGATTAAAATCCCTCCTCCTTCGGACCCCTCTCTTTCTCCCACTGCATCCTCCCCCCAACCCCGCACCAAAATCCCCAATGTCCTGTGGAGGTCAGAATCTCTATGACCAGACCGGGTGGCAGGTTCCCTCCCTGAAGGATATTAGTAAATGAGTTGGGGCTTGATGATTGGGTTTTACAATTGATAGCTTTCATAGAAACCTTTTCTGAGTGCCCAGCCCCACAAACTACCAGCTTAATTCAGCTCAATTTCACAACCTAATCTGTCATTGGGAAAATGTTAAGAGTCTGTTGTTAAAGTTGGAATAATAGAGCATTTAGAAATACAGCATAAAATCAAGCAGAGTCAATGTGGTTTTGTGAAGGCAAGGTCGTAGCTGACAAGTTTGTTAAAATATTTTGAGTAGTTAACAAGCAAGATAGATAAGGGGGAAACCAATAGACGAACTTTGTTTGGATTCCCAAAAAGCATTCAGTAAGGTATTTATATATGAGATTATTTCATGAGATGAGAACCCATGAAATCCTAGTGTTGGGACTATTTATTAGTCATTACTTCGATGAATGAGGTAATCCTTCATTACCTCAAAACTGGGTAATGAATTGAAGGCAGACAGTAGACATGGCAGAGATCAATACTGGGGCCACAATTATTTACAATATATACTAATCTCCTGGGTGACAGAAGTGAATGTACTGTCACCAAGTTTGGAGGTGACCCAAAATAGATGGGGAGGCAAGTAGTGAAGATGGCACAACGAAACAACAGAGAGTTAGAGGCAGGTTAAGCAAGTGGACAAAAACTCATTGGATGGAATATAATGTGGGGATAATTGAGGTTTATGCACTTTGGCAGCGAGAGTAGGAGAGGTAAATATTATTTATCTGGGGAAAAAACACTGCAGAAAGCTGCAGCACAGAGAGAATTGTGGGTCTTTGTGCTTGAAAGACAAAAAGCTAGTATTCGAGTTCAGCAGGTAATCTGGCACGTAGATGGTCTGTTGACCTTTATCTAAAAGGAAATGGGGTATAAAAATAGGCAAGTCTTGCTAAAATTGTACAGGGCACTAATCAGATTTCTTTACTTGCTCACAAGATGAGGGTGTTGCTGGCTGGGCCAGCATTTATTGTCCATTCCTAATTACCCAGAGGGCTGCTAAGGATCAATGACATTGCTGTGGAAATGGAGTCATATATAGGCCAGACCAGATAAGGATGGCAATTTCCTTCCCGAAGTGACATTTATGAGCCAGATAGGTTTTCCCCTGACAATTGGCACATGATCATCACTAGATTCTTAATTCAGTTCAAATACCATCTACCATGACAGGATTTGAACCCAGGTCCCTAGAATGTTATCTGGGTCTCTGGATAAACAGTCCAGCGATAATACCACTAGGCCATTGCCTCCCCTTTCACGGGTGGAATACTGTGAACAGTTTTCGTCTCCTTATTTTAGGAAAAGCAATTCAGGAGATTGATCCCAGATATGGGAGGATTTTCTTAGGAGATGAGATTGAGCAGACTGGGCCTGTACTCATTGGAGTTCAGAAGAATGAGAGATGACCTTATTGAAAATATATGATTCCTAGAGGTTTGAATGTAGATTGAGAGATTGTTCCTTCTGGTTTGACATTTGAGGACCCAAGGACGTAGACTCAGGGTATGGAGTTACCTATTTAAGACTGAGATGCGGGGGAGTCCCTTTTCTAAGGACATACTGAATCTGTGTAATTCTTTACTGCAAAGGGCTATAAAGGCTGGGCTGCTCACGGTGTCCAAGGCTGAGAAAAATAGATTTTTAATCAGTAAGGGAATCCAGGATTATGGGATAAGGCATGAAAATAGACATGAGGATTATCAGAGCAGCCCTGATCTCACTGAGTGGTGAGAGCAGACTCGCTGGGTTGAATTGCCTACTTCTCCTACGTCTTAGTATTGTTGTCTTTTCTTCTTGTTCTGGGCTCTCACTTGCTTCTGTTTTTATGTTTTCAACAAATTTCGCAGGATATTAGAAGGGGAAGATTGTCAGTGAGGAGATTCGAAACCAAACGTCACTTCAGGATCTGACAGTTGCCCAATTTATTGTAGCCTGAATATCATTGGATTTTGGACATGGAAGGAAAAAGCTCCATTCACAGTGGGGAGAAACCGTACACGTGTTGTACGTGTGGACAAGGCTTCAGCAGATCATCTGCCCTGTCACAGCATAAATACAGTCACACAGGGGAGAGGCCATTCGTCTGTTCTGAATGTGGGAAAGCATTCAGTCGATCGTCCACCTTGTTGAAACACCAGCAAGTTCACACAGAGGACAGACCTTTTAAATGCCCTGAATGTGGAAAGTGCTATAAACGTTCTGGGGCACTGAAGTTGCATCAACGTGTTCACACTGACGAGAGACCCTTCAGTTGCTCTCACTGTGGGGCTGGGTTCAAGCAATCATGTGACCTCATTAATCACCAGCGGATTCACACTGGGGAGAGACCATTTACTTGCTCAGAATGTGGGAAGACATTTGCTCGGAAATCAATCCTGCTGAGCCACCAGCGAATTCACACAGAGGAGAGACCTTATAAATGCCCAGATTGTGGGAAGTGCTATAAAAGATCTGGGGACCTGATGTTGCATCAACGTGTTCACACTGATGAGAGACCATTCAGGTGCTCCCACTGTGGGACTGGATTCAGGCGATCATTCCAACTCACTGTACATCAGCGATCTCACACTGCGGAGAGGCCACTCACCTGCACTGAGTGTGGGAAGGGATTCGCTATGATATCCAGCCTGCTGAAACACCAGCAAGTTCACACAGAGGAGAGACCTTTTAAATGCCCAGACTGTGGGAAGTGCTTTAAAAGATCTGGGAACCTGGTGTCCCATCAACGTGTTCACACCGATGAGAGACCGTTCAGATGCTCTCACTGTGGGACTGGGTTCAAGTGGTCAACGCAACTCAGCGTACACCAACGAACTCACACTGGGGAGAGGCCATTCACTTGCACTGAGTGTGGGAAGGGATTCACAATGAAATCCAAACTGCTGCATCATCAGCAATCTCACACGGGAGAGATCATTCATGTGCACTTGGGAAGGGATTTGCTGTAAAATCCAAACTGCTGCATCACCAGTGAGTTTGTGAGCAAAGACAGTGACTGTTTTTTTACTGTGAATATATCCCTGCTTTGTAGTGTCCCTCCCCCTCTGCTGGAAGATCTGGGTGACAATGATGTTGCCCATCTCTGAAAGACAACAGTATGTAGATAAGATACAGCAGAGAGACACTTAGAGCTCTATAAAACTCAATTAATTTATTAAGTACTTCAACGAATAACACACGCTTTTAACTACTAGGGATATCTCAATCACCATCTTTCACCATTCTTGGTTCTGGAACTAACCGAAAACTTACTACCCAGGACAGTTGGCAGCTGGCCAGGTTGGAAATCTTCTTGATGCCTTCACGATGCCTTCTGATGTAGAATACCTCCTGCAAAGTTATTCTTCGAAGTTCTGCTGAAAATCAATGATTTTCCTGGGCTGATTTATACACAAGTCTCTGTGTCAAGTGTATGCCTTATTTGGAATTATCCGCACACGTGACCAATCCCGAATGTTTTGTCCCTATTTGGCAGAGACAGCAGTTACTGATTTTGTGCAATCTTAGCTCTTCGCAGAGCTGAATGACTCAGCATAATTCTACTCACATAACAGCCCATTGTAAAGTCTCTTATCAGTTCCTGTTATCTTCAGCCTTATCCAACATCTCCCCGCTTTTGATCCAAAAATTTATGAGGATAATCTGTACTATGTTTGCTGCATTCTCCAGGGCACCTCCGGACAGTACCTTACAGCAATGTATTCTCGGCAAAGCATTACTTCATTTGAGTTATTTGAAGTGCTGTTTAGATTGTTGCACTTATCAAAACCATAGTCATAAGTGTAATCAAAGTTACAAATTAGTTTACAATATCTTACTCATTTTCCTTTTGTTCTATGGCAAATATACTGTTATAAGCTTTCCATATCTTGCAAGATATGCGTCACATCAGTACAAATAAATGGATAGTAAGAAATTCTACAAACTAACCATGTCTTTATTATTCCTACCTTATAGTAAGGAACCATTACAAACCCTCTTCCACATGAGTTATTGTCTAGTATTTGAGATCAATCTGTTGTCATTCCCTTCCATTTCTTAACTTTCTGCTTTAACAAACAAAAAAATTTCAACAACAAATTGTAGTACAGCAATCACATGAGTCACAATTCTGATCCATGGATGGACCTAAGTGTTCAGTCCCCAATTCAAAATTTCAGTCCAGAAATTTGGAGCCTGCAAGTCCCTATCTGTTTCTTCTGCTTGAGTTTTAATCTCCTTCACGTGTATAGCGCTTTTATGGATAACTTCCTTCGTCTCAAAATTGATCTTTACCCATCTGCAGTGAAGTGTGGAATAGATTGAAGTTCAGCAGTTATGAACCACCGTAAGTCTTGTCTGTATTATTTGGGTGGATGGATAGAGTTATGCACAGTTTCTCATTGGCTTCTGGCTTAAACAGAATTTGGTGGCTAATGGTTTAAGTTGAAAGAGATATTGCTGGTAGCCATGTTCTGTCCATCTAGTGTGCACCATGTCCTTCCTTTTTTTGTGTCCGGGTGACATAATAGGTGTCTCCCACTAAGGCACACATAAGAAAAGATTGTTTATCCTGCCAGTGAATAACCAATGAGCAGTTCCTGTAAGAGGCAAATCCACACTGAGTTAGCCCTTCTTTGATTGTTTCTTCCGGACATGCCCAGTGGTTTCCCCCTTGGTGGAATCAGGACAAATCCTCCTCCCTGCCCCCCCCCACCTTTTTGGATCCCTCTAGAACTGTAGAACGTGTTGGTGGGTTACTTAATGATCTCCCAAGTTCCTTCATGGTATTTACCCACATTATGAACTTACATTAGGGGGTGTGTCAGATTGTCCCCATGTTTGGGTATATGAAACATAGAAAATAAGTGCATGAGTTGGCCATTCAGCCCTTCGAGCCTGCACCTCCATTTAGTACGATCATGGCTAATCATGTGACTTCAGTATCCCATTCCTGCCCTCTTCCCATACCCCTTGATCCCTTTAGCTCCTTCTTGAATATATCTAATAAACTGGTTCCAACAGCTTCCAGTGGGAGAGAATTCCACATATTCATAAATTCTTCCTCATCTCAGTCCTGAATGGCTTACCCCTTATTCTTTTGTGGCTAAAGGGATCAAGGGGTATGGGAAGACGGCAGGAATGGGATACTGAGGTCACATGATTAGCCATGATCGTACTAAATGGAGGTGCAGGCTCGAAGGGCTGAATGGCCAACTCATGGACTTATTTTCTATGTTTCATATACCCAAACGTGGGGACAATCTGACACACCCCCTAATGTAAGTTCATAATGTGGGTAAATACCATGAAGGAACTTGGGAGATCATTAAGTAACCCACCAACACGTTCTACAGTTCTAGAGGGATCCTAAAAGGTCCGGGGTGGGGTGGGGGGGTGTACAGTGAGTTGGAATGAAAGTTGTTACTTACTTTCCATATTATTTACGGCCACATAATTCACTTCTTTTACACCCTCAACCAGCTGTTGTACCCACTTATCTTTCATTATTCCATCTACTTCTGGCTCAGATAGGTATAATCCTAGCAGTGGCTCCTGGCTCCAGAGGAACCTGTAGTGCTTTTCATCATCAGGACTTAATAACCAAGTGGTCTGGTGCTGCTGCATCATTTTGGCTAGCATATTCTTTAAAGTTCAAATCATCCTTTCAACGATCCCACTGGATTGGGACCTGTAGAATGTATCGAACTTTTGTTTTATCCCTAGCAATGTCATGACATTCTGCGTCTCCTGGGCTGTGAAATGTGTCACTTGATCTGATTTAATACTGCTTGGTAAACCCCAATGAGTAAAGACCTTTTCTAATAGGACGTTTGCCGTGATTTTAGCAGTATTGGTTTGAGTGGGAAACACCTCTATCCATATGGTGAAGGTATCTACTATCACCATGATCAACTTATATTCTCCCATAGTTGGGGAGTAGGGGATCCACAAAGTTGATTTGTAGATTTGTCCAGGACCCCTCTACTGGCCTAGTGTGTCTTAGGATTCTCTTCTTCACATTTCTGTCAGGGTTATTTTGGCAAATATCAATTTTTCATGTGATGTTGCACATCCCCTTTCATTCCTGGCCACCAACATACCTCTTGTCAACCTCTCCAAGGTGTTTTCTAAACCTTGGTTTCCATATATATCATGATATCAATAAGTCATCCGATTCTCTCTCTCGTACTACAAATTTCCCTTCACACAGTACTACACCCTCTTATGTGTATGCCTTTTCATTCTTTGTATTCCTCTGACTCCTTCCCTTCCAATTCTATTTTGTAATTCTTTATCTCTTCTTTGTTCTCCTGCTAGGTCAATTGGGCCTGCTTCTTTCTCTTTCTGCACCCCTATTTCCTCTATTGTGGCTGCCATTCTTCTTCAGCTATTGCCCCTTGTTTGGCTAATTCATCTGCCTTTCTATTTCCCTCTAGTGACAACATAGAATGAGCTTTTACTTTCATCACTCCATATTCTTTCCCTTTTGCCTCTCAAAGATGTACCTCAACAATGGGCAGACGGTAGGACCTTCCCATCTGTTGACACAAAGCCTCTCACCTCCCACAAGGGTAGGTATTTCATCAGATTGTTGCACATGTACATACTATCTGAATAGATAGTATATCCGGGGGCATTTATCTGGATATATCACTGTCCTTCCACTGCTGCTAACTCAGCTGCTTGAGCACTCATGGCCTTTGGCAACTTGAGGGCTATGCTATCCACTTTTCGTCCTTGCTCCTCTTCCATATAGATCCCACAACCAGTTTTCCATTCTCCAACCTGTACAGATGAAGAGCCATCAATGAAAATTTTAAAGATGATTTGTTATTCCCTTGCTGTTCTCCTATTTCTGTCTCTGTCTGTCTCTTGTCTTTGGTATTCCCTATATTGTCTTTACCAGTTTTCCTTCCTTTTTGTTTTGATACAAATGGTCCTTTTGGATCATTTGCTATCACCACCTGACACTGGCGAGGTTTCCCCCAGTAAATTATCTGCTAACATGGTAGTACTTTTAAAACCTTTTATCTCTATGCTTCTCCCTTGTAATAGCAACGTCCATCCAGTAATTCTATTTTGGGCTTGCTGTGCCATCATTAATACATCCATCCAGCAGCATCTGAATGGGTGTATGTTCTGTCAAAATTGTCAACTGGTTCAACTCCACAGTGTAGATTAAATTTGTACCGCTCAGAATACGGCCAATAAATGCCTTTCACATGCCATATACCCCTGCTGTACTGGCATGAGCATGCGCGAAGAATAAGCTACTGGTCTCAACTGACCATGCACCTCTTGCAATAAGACCACTGACATTGTGGAGCCTGTGGAAGCCATCTCAATGGCGATTGGCTCAGCTGGATTTGGGACTTTTAGATCAGGAGCACTCGCCAAGCCCTGTTTCAAAGCTATTCTTGCTTGCTTTGTTCTGGCTTCCCTTCCCATGGGGTATTTTTCTTCAGTAACATCATTAGTGGTGCTGCCTGTGTGGCATAACCATCAATGTGGTCACTACAATACCCAATCAAGCCCAAAAGCAATCTTAATCCCTTCACATCTGTGGGGATAGGAAGTCGAGTTGCTATTTCAATTCTTTTTTTGTCTGTCTCTCTTTTTCCTGGTTTTAACACCACTCCTAAGTCATTCACTTTCTGCCTCATAATCTCAGCTTTTATCAGATTCACTATTAACCCGAGCTCCTTTAACAGTTGCCACACCTCGTTCAGGAGCTGGTAATGCTACTGTTTGGTTCCTGTTTGCAGACGCAAATCATCTGCATACTGTATCAGGCAGTCTGGTGTAGAAAGTCCTGCAACCATTCATGAAATATTGATGGGGAGTTGTGAAATCCCTGTGGCAAAGCTGTCCATGTATATTGCTGTCCCTGAAAGGCAAATGCAAATTTATACTGACACTTCTTGGACAAAAGGATTAAGCAAAATCCATTACTTATATCGAGCATCGTAAACCACTGTGCAGCTTCACTCTGTTTAGTCATGGCTTTGGGGCTAGTAGCCACTGTGGATGCTGCTAAGTGTGTTACCTTTAGTTCTCAACAATCAATAGTCAGTCTCCAACTCCCTTCCAGTTTCTTTACTAGCCAAATAGGTGAATTGTTCATAAAGGTGACTCTCCTTAACTCCTGTTGTGTTACCAGACTTTGCACTACCTTTCCTATATCGCCTTCAGCCTGCTTGGGGAATCCATACTGCTTCTAGGCTTTGGATCTGGGCCCTGTATACGCACCTCCCCTTGCAACTGTCCATAGTCATACTTATGTTTGGCAAACCTTCCTGGTTTTGTCCAATAATTCCTTGTACTATTAGGTCCTCATGCATGTCAACAGGACTGATCCACATTTCTTCCACTGTACACAATCTCTCCTTATACTGTCCTGCAAGGATTTCAGCAAAAAACTGCTCCTCACTCACTCATTCCTGGCATTTGCCGTATCATGGATCAAAGCACAGTCCTGCTCTGGCTATGTAATCACTTCCCAGGATCTGCTCTTGATTTGCTGAGTATTTCCCAATCGTCACTATTTACAATAGATGTGTTCAGGGTGGTGCAGGATACCCCTGTGTCCTAAAGGAAAGTGATAGGGTGGTGCCCTACCCTACTGTTCACTAATGGTCTCCTTGTCTCATTCCATTCTGCATCACACATTCATATGGGATAGGCCTGAGACCATCATTGAGGTTTGGAGTACAATCGACTTGTTGCTTTAATTGGTTGCACGTTGTTCTGTGGCACAAACTAGGGTCAATCCAGGGGCAAGGGTTGGACCTGCGTCTGATTTTCCCTGCCCTTCCAGGGGGTTTGGACAATCTCTGGCATAGTGCCCTTCCTTGCCACAATTAAAACACTTCCATGAGCCTCCAGGTGTCTACCACTATCTGTGGCTATAGGCGGGGCTCATCGTCCACGCACATGTCCCCTTCCT